AGCACACAGCCTGTGCGTGGTTACCACTCCATATGTTGTCACTATAAGCTGTTGTGGCTTATCATAAACTATAAACACAACCCTGAGGGAAGTAAAATTCCATGAAAAAAAGAAGTCTCATTATGACCTGCCTCAAATTGTAAAATCTCTAATAAAAGTGAGGGTGTGTGGTTAGTGGTACAAGTGTCTAGAACCGGGTCTATCCAGCTCCAACACACCCTCCACTATGCCCAGCTTGAGAACAGGGGCAGGGGGCAGGGGGACAGAGTACTGCCTGGGAGGGGACCCGAGGAGGACTTCTGGGATGTGGCTAAGTTGTTTTTTGATCTGGGTGCTGGTTACACGGGTGTGTTCAGTTTGTAAAAGTGCAGTGAGCTTACACTTCCACACGCTTATCTGTGTGTTGTATTTAAAAAAAAAAATCAAAACAAGGGGTGCTGTCTCAGGATATAGTCATATGAATGCACTGGGACCAAAGGGTGAGAGTAAGATAGTCTCCTAGTTCCAGTGCTTGCCCAGAGAGAAGAGAAACAGATTGTGTACTAGATGCAGCTGCAGTAAATAAGATGCCTAGTTTTCCACTGCCTTTTGGTAACTGTGATATTTCAAAAATATAAGTTGTTTCATTAGGATACTGGTTAGTTGGTTTGTTTTCTTAAATATTTTATTTTATTTTTTAAGATTTTATTTATTTGTCAGAGAGAGAGCACAAGCAGGGGGAGTGGCAGGCAGAGGGAGAAGCAGGCTTCCCGCGGAGCAGGGAGCCCGATGCAGGACCCGATCCCAGGACCCGGGGATCATGACCTGAGCCAAAGGCAGACGCCCAACACACTGAGCCACTCAGACGCCCCAAATATTTTATTTTTAGGTGAAAGTAATCCCTACACCCAACATGGGGCTTGAACTTACAACCACGAGATCAAGAGTCGTGTGCTCTAGCGACTGAGCCAGCCAGGCGGCCTGGTTAGTTGGTTCTTATAAATGTCTTCAGCTGTGACTTCATCCACCAATACCAATAAATCGTAACTTAGGTGAGAGGCACTGAGGTTAAAACTAACTTACATTTAACATCTTACCAAAGGGAAGTGTGGAACTGAGTCCGTTTTCCAGCTCAGAGTTTTGGGCTCTCCCTGCCTCTTGCATTTCTGTCTTTCCCCATGAAGAGAACTCAACCAGCAAAAATTGAGTGAGTTCCTGTCACTCACCAGGCCCTGAGCTGGGTGCTGGAGACAAGAGTTTGGGTGTGAACATAACAAATAGAAGGCGGAGGGGCAGAATCCTGTCCCAAGCTCTGAAGTTGGACAGTGCACAGGTGTAGGAGCAGGGTCAGAGGAGTGCAGGGAAGGCTTCTGGGAGGAGGCGGTACCCAGGCTGAGTTTTCAGAGATGTGCAGGTATGCCCTAGGTGGACCAGGCATTCCAGGAAAAGGGAACAGTGTGGAAGAGAAGGCGAGGCCCAGTGGAACACATTCAAGGGGAGCAGCCAAGGGGCAAGGAGGATGGTCAGGGTATCGGGGTGCAGTGAAGAGGTTCCACAGAGGCCCCGTTGGGAAGGCTTCATGCACATTCCAAGGAACTGGCCTTTCTGTAGGGATGCGGAGTCCCAGGGGGTTTAAACTGAGTAGTGACGACTGCGTTTCTGTGTTGGAGAACACTCAATGCTGTCTACAACTTGGAGGATGAAGTGGAGGGAGCTTGGGGGCTACTGCGGTTGCAAGGGTCTGAACGATGCCTGGGGTTGGGGGGGTGGTGAGGTGAGAGCTGGGAGATGTTAATAGGGAGGCAGGATTTGTAGGGCCAGATTCCTGAATGGCTCTAAGGGAGGCAAGGGAGGAAGGAGTCTTGGATGACTCCCAGATCTGGGGTTGGGTGAGGTCAGGCAAGGCCATGCTGCTCACAGAGGAGCCACAGGGGAGGCCTGCAGGGAGCGGGCTTCTGGACATACTGAGTCTGAGGCTCTAGGAGCGATCAACTGCAGCACGTAAGCTGTGGGACGAAGCCAGTAGAGGAGACTGGAAACCAGGGGAGGAAGTGGCTGAGGGGGCAAGGCCCTGCCCCTGGAGGGAAGTGGAGGCTAACACAGGTGGAGATGGGGTACCGCCGCCCTGAACGCACATCTCCAGGCTGAGCCTGGAGGAAGGAAGCGAGGGGCGCTACAGAGAAGTTGTTGCTGTGGGGCTGGCACGCTGAGGGCGGTTCCTGACATCTGATAGGGTCGAGGTTCTCCGGGAAGGGGAGCCAAGTCTGGGAGCTGGCGGGGTCTCAGGAAAAGGGCCGAAGGGTACAAGGCAGCCACCGTGGGGCTCAGGAGAGGGAAGTGGGCAAGTCCCGGAGAAGACCCGCCAAGAGGGGCACGGGGGCCTCGCTGACAGTAAAGCTTTGTTTGTTTTCTTTTTACCATTTATTATACATTTTTAAAAAGAGTTATTTACTTTAGAGTGCTCGAGGAGGGGGGTGGCAGAGAGGGAGGGAGAGGGGAAGCAGACTCCCCACTGAGCGCGGAGCAGATCATGCCCTGAGCCAAAACCAAGAGTCAGATACTTAACCGACTGAGCCACCCAGATGCCCCTCATTGTAAGTTTTTTAACTGTCCCAAGGCTGTTCCCATGAACTTAGAACAAACTAGGGACAAAACCGCAGTCCCTAAATGCCTGTACATTTAGGGGAAATGTCCTTTGTTACAGAAACACAGGTGTAACTGAATTGAGAGCAAAGACGTGGTGGAAATAGATCTGCCAAGGGGACTGGGGCTTCCTGATGTCTTTTAGGGAAGAAGTCTGTGCCCTTCCATCCCACACCTAGCCGCACAAAGGCCCGTGTATGCTGAGCCCTCCCTGCCTCCGCAGACCCGCTTTAGGGCGAGCAGGACAGGAAGTGAAGGACTCCTGACCTTTCTAGGACCATGTTCTGTCATTTCCCATCCTGGGTCCAGCCTGATCTTGTTTCCCTTTTTTCCAAGATATTTTGTGTGCCTACCAGGTAGAGAGGAGTTAAAAAATAGAAAGTTAGAAAGTTTTGCAAAGCTTAATGTCAGTTCTTTTCTTAAGTTGAGACTCAGGGGAAGAGAGAACCAGTATCTTCTACAACCCAAATCCCAGAATTTACTGCCAGCTAGGAAACCACCCTATCCATTCTCCCTTGGATGGCTAGTGTAGCTTCCTCCTGTGAAAACTTGATGAAGACAGGTAACGGGATTTCTTGTTCATCACTTTCCCTAGTTCCTAGCACAGTGATGGTACTTAAGTCCTCAATGTTTGCCCAGTAAGTGAAGGAATGGGATTAATAATGGGGATTTTACAGCCTCCATGATTTGGTTTAACAACCATCACTGCTGAGCTTAGAAATGTCCTCCTTGTGTCTAATCTAGTTGATTCTGGATAGAGATAATTCCCAACGGCCTCCTTAGGAGGCCACCTGGCTCCTTAGCCAAAGCTGCCACTCCAAGTCTTGGTTGACAGACTGAATGCACAGTTGGCGAAGGACAGTGGACAGATGCGTGCACTGGTCAAGCACACAGATCTCAGTTCACCCAAAGATGTGTTCTTTAAAGCCACTGGTTTTTACTCCCTGAAGGTCTTGAACCGCTTTTGGCCTAAGGCAGGAGGTGAGTGGGTGGGAAGTGAGGTGTGGGTTTGCTAATAGTCAAGTTCATACTGAAAGGCAGACACAGGAAAAGAATGGGACTCTATTTTATTAGGAAATATTGAGCATCCATTCTATAAGAACCAAGGCCCATTGTGAGCATAGGCTCCATGCACTGGAGGAGGTGGTTTCAAATTTCCCAGAAACACCTTCTCTGTTCTCCTCTTCCTTATAACAAACCCCTTGACCTGCTATCATCCCCTGGTCTTTATGGTCTCAAGGCTCAAGGACCCAAGAACAAAGCCCTGGTAGCATCCCGGGATCAAGGATGACACCTACAGGACAACTCCTGATTCAAGCCCAAATCTGTCCAGAGGACAGAGGATGTGTCCTCAAAATCAACACTTCCTTAAAAATATGAACGTATACAAAAGCTCCCAGAGAGAACTCTAGCCCTGCACCTATAAAATAAAAACGAGAACAGGGGAATGACAAGTGCATAGAGAGATGATTTAGCGGCTAGTATCTGTGGGGGTGAAGACACAAGCCCATCCTCAAGGGTGCAGGGCTCTTTCACCCTCAAAGAGACAACCCACCATCCACCAGGGGTAGGCGGCTGGGGGTCCCTGATTTCCCACTCAAAAAACAAAACCCCACAAAAACGAGTGCATTCCCCTGGCGGCAGACTTACCACAGGACAGTAAGCAAAGCCACAAGCAAACGTGTCCATCTCCTCAGTTTCTATCCTCCCTCACGGGCCCCGTTCAACTCTTTATCAGTGGAAAGGCTCTGGGGACAGTGGTTCCAGGCCACACTCCCTCGGGTCTTGGAGTCCCTGACACCTTCCACAGATAGAAAAGGGCTTTACCTTCCTGTGGATGACTCAGAGTTGGAAAAGCCCATCCACCTTGACCTGAAATCAAAGCCCAGGACACAAGGCCAGGGAGAGCGGCTTCTGACCTGACACCCTGGCACACAAGCAGCTCCAGGCGAAGGCACGTTAACCCGACCAAGGGGCAGCAGAAGCACCAGCCCGCACCTATCGCTTTCCAGTATTTCTGAGGCCTCGGCCCAGGCTGTGGGCCACGCTGTCTTCTGTCCCCCACGAGAAACACTCCCGCTGTGCTACCAAAGAGGAAACTGAGGCCCGGAGGACCAGGAGAGCGGAAGGCCATGGCGTGTCATGCAATGAAACGGAAAGAGACCCAACTCTGCAACCTTCCGTCCCCCCGCGCCCCCCCCCGCCCCCATTCTGGGGGACGTGAGTCTGCTCACCGAGACGGCGGCGGATGTTGGAACCGGGGATGAGCGCGGGTGAGGTTCGGGCCCAAGTTCCCAAAGACACCCCCCACCCCGGGAAGAACGGCTCCCCGGAAGGGGCGTCACCGTGCGCCCGTGGGCCGCTGCCGGGCGGCCGGCTCAGTCCGCTTTGTCTTTGGCATGCGTCCTCTGGTGGGTGATGAAGTTGGAGCTGTTGCTGAAGCCCTTGCCACACTCGGGGCACTTGTAGGGCCTCTCCCCGGTGTGGATGCGCTGGTGGACGATGAGCACGGAGTTCCAGCTGAAGCCCTTGCCGCACTCGGGGCAGCGGTAGGGCTTGTCCCCCAGGTGCGCGCGCTGGTGCATGACGAGGATGGAGCCGCGGCTGAAGCTCTTGCCGCACAGGAGGCACTGGTAGGGCTTCTCGCCCGTGTGCGTGCGCCGGTGCGCGGCGAGCTGCGAGCGCTGGCCGAAGGCCTTGCCGCACTCAGCGCACTTGTGCGGCTTCTCGCCCGTGTGCACTCGCTGGTGCTTGAGGAGGTTGGAGCTCCAGCTGAAGCTCTCGCCGCACGTCAGGCACTCATAGGGCTTCTCGCCCGTGTGCGCGCCCTGGTGCGCGATGAGGCTGGAGCTCTGGCTGAAGCTCCGGCCGCACTCGCCGCACTTGTAGGGCTTCTCCAACAGGTGCGTGCGGCGGTGCGTGGCCAGGTTGGAGCTGCGGCTGAAGCTCTTGCCGCACTCGGCGCACTGGTAGGGCTTCTCGCCCGTGTGCGTGCGCCGGTGCGTGATGAGCGCCGAGCTCTGGCTGAACCTCTGCCCGCACTCGGCGCACCGGTAGGGCTTCTCGCCCGTGTGGATCCGCTGGTGGCGGATCAGGTTGGAGTTGTAGCTGAAGCTCTCCCCGCACTCCTTGCACTCGTACGGCTTCTCGCCCGTGTGGATGCCCTGGTGCGTGTTAAGGCTGGACCGGTTGCCAAAGCTCTTCCCACACTCGGGGCACGAGTAGGGCTTCTCGCCCGTGTGGGTTCGCTGGTGGGCAATGAGATTGGGGCTCCTGCTGAAGCTCTTGCCGCACTCAGCACACTGGAAGGGCTTTTCTCCCGTGTGGATCCTCTGGTGGGTGATGAGGTTTGCGCTCCGGCTAAAGCTTTTCCCACAGTCTCGGCATTTGTAAGGTTTCTCCCCCGTGTGGGTGGTTTGGTGTCTGCTGAAGTTGGAACCATCGCTAAAGCTTTTCCCGCATTCATTGCATTTGTAGTACTTCTCTCCCGTGTGGGTCCGCTCGTGGGTGATCAGGTGGGATTTCCGGCTGAAGGTTTTCCCACACTGGGGACACTCGTAGGGCTTCTCACCCAGGTAGGTGCCCTGAAGGCCGATTAGCTGCCCCACTTCCCTGCCCTGGGAGGGCACCTCCCTGTGGTCCCCACGCGGGGCATTCCCCTGGGGCCCCCTGGAGCCACAGTCTCTCTCAGAGTCACTTTCCCAGTCGGACTGCGGAATGCCTCCCCCTTCGGGCATTTCTGAGAACATCTCATGTGATTCGACATCCTCAAATAGATCCTGATTAGAGTTCTCCCCATTGTCGCTCTGGATCTCGAAATCTGAAACAGTGAAGAAAGACATACAATTTATACTCCGTTTCCTATAATGATGAGAGAAGGAAAGGAAACCCAAGTGAAATATTTAAAAAGTTAAACTTCTTATGAAAATAAAGAGGCCAAAGGATCCTCAAAACTTTTTAAAGCCAGGTTGATTTCCTTCTTCGTGATTATCTAGCTGTCAGACCTCATACCCATGTGGTGATTACCGAGAATTTCTAAGTCTTAAAGATTTGGGTTCTAGGTCTGTACCTGTTTCTCCACTGGGAAATGAAGTCAGGTGGGAATCTGGAAATCCTAATCAACAGAAAGCAACAGGGTACAGAGTGACCCCCAATACTCACCATGGTGCCTGATGTGTAACAGGTGCTCAATTAAATTTGGAGAATGAGTGAATGGGTTTTTCATTGGTACCACAGAAATTTCCCTAAAGCTTCGTCTCCCTTCAAAAAGAGTTTATGTAATAATCTCGTGCATTACACTATACCCTGTGTTTATAATCTTATTAGATTATAATAAGTACAACAAGGTGACGGGACCCCTGCAACAAGAACTCTAGGTGTCTGTACAGATGACTGGAAACAAGCGAGTGGTTAGAAGAGCCCTAAAATGTATCTGCAGTAGGAGCTTACAGATGGACCTCCCATTGGTAATACAAAATATCTACCATCCAGAAACTTGTCAAACTCTGCTGCCCAACACTTATCAAACATTCGGGTGAAAGAAATCAGGAGGGGGCACCTGGGTGGCTCAGTCAGTTAAGCATCTGCGTTTAGCTAGGATCATGATCCCAGGGTCCTGGGACTGAGTCCCTCACTGGGCTCCCTGCTCAGCAGGGAGTCTGCTTCTCCCTCTGTCTCGCCCTCTGACCCTCCCCCCGCTTGTGCTTTCTTGCACGCTCTCTCTCTCAAATAAATAAATCGACTCTTTAACAAAAAAAAAAAGAAGAAAGAAATCAGGAGGGCAGATTGCTGACAACATATGCATCCCCTTCCTTCACTGAGAGACTCTGAAGTCTATCCCAGGATTGAGCAGGAGAGCCGTGAGCCTGGATCTCACTGTTTTGATCCCCATAGAACTGAGCTGTGTGTTGATTTAATAGCTCTGGCCGACAGTCAAACAGTCTGAGAAGTGTCATCGAAATTAATGGTCATCAGGAACGTTAACACTGCCAAGAAGTTGTTGGCGACACTGTTTATGCCACACAATGTCCTCTTGATAAACGAGAAGGAAATTTTCCTCTAACCGAAATCCCAAAAGCACCACTGTTCTGAGTAACTGATGTGTGTCTGCCTCATGGCTCTGGTTGTGGCTCCCCGCTCTGCCTTGCCTGCTTGGAAGCTTGGAGCCAAACGCTCAGAGGGAGAATACTGGATGTTTGTATAGCCCGCAACCTGTGTTCTTTCATTTTTCCCTCCCATTATTTCCTTTTTTGCTGTAATTTCCTTGTGCTCCCTTCCTTCCTTCCTCTCTGCCTCCTTCCTTCTTTGGCTAATCTTCCCTGTATTGCACCAATTTTAGTATATGTGCTGCCAAAGCGAGCACCCTTGTGCTCTGTTTCTGTAAGTTGTCTTCAATTCTTTTTTGGAATTCTGTAGGGTGTACAGAAATAAATCAATGATTTACCGATCAGGATGACAGCCTGATTATTCCTAACACCTAACATCAGACCTCCAGAGAAAGCAGATCCATCCAGAACAGGGAAGACAATTAGTTAAATAATTACACAGGGTCCTAGTGACATTCCCATTACTGAAGCTAAGAAATAGTTTATTTAAAGTTAGATGGTCAATTCAGTGATTATTAGTTTCTGTAGGTGAAGGTGAATTTCCATAGGTGCACAGGATAAAATCTGACATGCCCTCAGGCAGAACCTGGTTCTAGTTATGCTGTCAGTCCACAGAGGATTGTGTTTAAATACAAGTAGCCTTGTGATTCTACTTCATGCTCACTAGCACATACGCCGCTGGTACTCTGTGGCTCCTGGCGTCCAGGGGACAGATACGGGCCTCAGGGGCACAGCGTATGCACCCACATGGCCAGGAGGACCAGGAGCTCTGCACTTCTGCAACTTCCTGCAACAGGGTTTTGCAAGTTTCTAGCACAGAGGTCTGCTCTCACTGCTCTTCTACAGGGTCCTCCAGGCAGAGGCCCTGATTTATTTTCTGCAAGCGAATGCTACCAAAAACATTTTTTTAAAAACGACTTTAGTAGGGGCACCTGGGTGGCTCTGTCGGTTGAGTGTCTGACTCTTGGTTTTGGCTCAGGTGTGATCTCAGAGTCGTGAGATGGAGCTCCATGTCATCATCGGGCTCTGCGCTCAGTGGGGAGTCTGCTTAAGTTTCTCTTTCTCTCCCTCTGCCTGCCCCGCCCCCCCGCTTGCTCCTCTCTCTCTCTAATAAATAAATTGTTTTTTAAAAATGACTTTAGGGCGCCTGGGTGGCTCAGTTGGTTAAGTGACTGCCTTCGGCTCAGGTCATGATCCTGGAGTCCCGGGATCGAGTCCCACATTGGGCTCCCTGCTCAGCGGGGAGTCTGCTTCTCCCTCTGACCCTCCCCCCTCTCGTGCTCTCTATCTCTCATTCTCTCTCTCTCAAATAAATAAATAAAATCTTTTAAAAAAATGACTTTAGTAATTGTTCTCTTCTGAACAGGGACATTAGCTGCCTTAAAATCAGAAGAACTGGTTGGTATGTTCTGGAATGAGCTCAAAAGCAACAGGGAAAACCCAACAAAAACTCAAACTCCATTTGCAGTGAGATTAGGAGGAAGATTAATTTGCAGACACCAAAATACATATAAGGGCTTCCAAAAACAGCAGAGACAGGGCAGAGGCCAATGAGGCAGGAAGTGAACAAGCATGGAAAGTGGTGTATGCACGTGTGCACGCGCGTGTGTGTGTGTGTGTGTGTGTGGCTGGGGAAGGAACTGGGGGGCAGCTAATCTCAAAAAGCTCAGGCAGAGGGGGCTCCTGGGTGGCTCAGTCAGTTGAGCATCCGACTCTTGATCTTAGCTCATCTTGATCTCAGGGTCATACGTTCAAGCCCTGCCCTGGGCTCCACACTGGGCATGGAGCTTACTTAATTTAAAAAAAAAAAAGGATATAGAAAAAGCTCAGGCAGAAAATCACTTCCTAAAGGTAAGGACTCCCCCTCAAGAGCAACAGTGCATTTGGGGTGAGCAGGGCTGGCTTCTTTGGTTCAGAGAAGTGCAGGCGGTGAAGCTACTACCAGAATCACCCAGATGACCTCTACATGCAGGAAGCTTTCTGTTTCTGTAGAGCAGAAAAGAGAGAGCCTTTGACCCTCACACATTAATCATGGCAATTAGGACTGAGAAAGTGACATTTTTCATGCATTAAAAAAAATAAATAAATGAGGGTCTCCCGTGTGGCTCAGCCAGTTAAGCCCCTGACTTTTGGTTGCAGCTCGGGTCATGATCTCAGGGTCATGAGATCAAGCCCCGCCTCGGGCTCCCAACTCAGCGTGGAATCTGCTTGAGGATTCTCTCTCTCCTTCTCCCTCTGCCCCCCTCCTCCCTGTGTGCACTCTCTTTCTCTAAAAAAAAAAAGGAGAAAAAAAATTAGACAAAGCAACCGCCTCCAGGAAGGAAGACCACATGGTGGAAGTTGGGAGAGACAGTGAGACAGCAGGAAGAGATGAAGTGGGAGCTGGCAGGACGTGGGAAGGCAGAGGAAATCCAGAGGCCCGGGCGCAGGAGAGGAGTGCAAAGGAGAACAGGCACACTGGCGAGCAGAAAGGGAAAAGTGGGCCCGAAATGAGAAGAGCTGTGAAAGGAAGAGGAATGAGGAGGACAAAGGGATTAATGAGCAGGCCAGAAAGAGAAATGAGACGAAATGAGAGTCCACACACACGTAACTGGAGTTCTCAAACAGGGGAACCAGCCCCAAGGAACAGAACAAACGCTGAAGGTAGAAAGCTCCAACGACCCTGGGAAGGTGCGCTGTGTTAGGAAGACTAACCCACAGTGGCTAGCGATGAGACAGGACAGCAAGCAAAAGGCTCGAATCACTCAAGTGGGGGGGAGAACCAGCTGGGCTCAGACTTCTCTACGGTGACATTCATGCCTGTAGACACGAGGCAGACAAGGAAAGAAAGGGGATGCCCAGGATTTTGTGTTCAACAAAACTGTCCTTCAAGTATCCCGTTGGCAGGCAAACAGCTTTGAATACGCACAAATTCGCAGAATATGGTTCCTATGAGCCCCTCTTGGGGAAGCTACTAGGAGGTGAGCTTCGGTCAACCAAGAGATCAAGGGAACTCTGAGCAAACGGGCTGGGCATGAACACCGGATACACCAGACTTCAGAACCAAGTCTCCAACGACTGTGGCCATTACAATGAGAAGAGAATGTAGAGGCTACCCGGCAACGTAGAAATGACACTCCAGCCAAAACTGGGGTTGAGAGAAGGCAGGACAGAGGATATGTTCATTGATTGCCTCATATGGATTGCCCCCCTAACCTGGGAGTTCAAAGTGTATCATTTAAAATTGGCAAATCATGCACCCGAAGTGCATGCAAGTGTCTTTACCAGTGCAAGAATCAACCTTAAGGAACTCCGGGCCGGCTCAGGTGGTGAAGCATGCAACTCTTGACCTCGGGGTCATGAGTTTGAGCCCCATGTTGGGTGTAGAGACAACTAAAAAAACAAAACCAAACAAACAAAAGAAACTTAAAACGTTAAGACAGGATTACTGACTGAGACCGGGGGTGGGGAGGAGAGGGACTATCTTTGTCAGATGTTCAAACATGCTACAAGATCTCAAGAATGAAAACATTAACAGACAGTAGACCAGGGAAACAACACAAACACTCTAGAAACAGACTCAGTAGACATGTGAATTCGGAACTGAACACAGGTGGCACATGGATAGACATATGAGCAGAACAGAAACAAGAATCTAACGACACTAGGACTTGAACGTCTGACAAGGGCAGCCTCTCAAATCCAGAGAGAAAAGGCTCAACATTCAATTGACATT